AGTGGTGCAGTGGTGGCAGCAGTGGTACGTGGTAGCAGTGGTAGCAGCATGTGGTAGCAGTGGTAGCAGTGATAGCAGCAGTGGTAGCAGTGGTAGCAGTGGTAGCAGCAGTGGTAGCAGTGGTAGCAGTGGTAGCAGTGGTAGCAGCAGTGGTAGCAGTGGTAGCAGCAGTGGTAGCAGTGGTAGCAGTGGTAGCAGCAGTGGTAGCAGCAGTGGTAGCAGTGGTAGCAGTGGTAGCAGTGTTAGTAGTGTAGCAGCAGTGGTAGCAGTGGTAGCAGCAGTGGTAGCAGTGGTAGCAGTGGTAGCAGCAGTGATAGCAGTGGTAGCAGTGGTAGGAGCAGTGGTAGCAGTGGTAGCAGTGGTAGCAGCAGTGGTAGCATTGGTAGCAGCAGTGGTAGCAGTGGTAGCAGCAGTGGTAGCAGTGGTAGCAGCAGTGGTAGCAGTGGTAGCAGTGGTGGCAGCAGTGGTAGCAGTGGTAGCAGTGGTAGCAGCAGTGGTAGCAGTGGTAGCAGTGGTAGCAGTGGTAGCAGCAGTGTAGCAGCAGTGGTAGCAGTGGTAGCAGTGGTGGCAGCAGTGGGTAGCAGTGTGTAGCAGTGGTAGCAGTGGTAGCAGCAGTGGTAGCAGTGGTAGCAGTGGTAGCAGTGGTAGCAGTGGTAGCAGCAGTGGTAGCAGTGGTAGCAGTGGTAGCAGCAGTGGTAGCAGTGGTAGCAGTGGTAGCAGTGGTAGCTGCAGTGGTAGCAGTGGTAGCAGTGGTAAGCAGCAGTGTAGCAGTGGTAGCAGTGGTAGCAGCAGTGGTAGCAGCAGTGGTAGCAGTGGTAGCAGTGGTAGCAGTGTTAGTAGTGGTAGCAGCAGTGGTAGCAGTGTAGCAGTGGTAGCAGCAGTGGTAGCAGTGGTAGCAGTGGTAGCAGCAGTGATAGCAGTGGTAGCAGTGGTAGCAGCAGTGGTAGCAGTGGTAGCAGTGGTAGCAGTGGTAGCAGCAGTGGTAGCAGTGGTAGCAGCAGTGTAGCAGTGGTAGCAGTGTAGCAGTTGTAACAGTGGTAGCAGTGGTGGCAGCAGTGGTAGCAGTGGTAGCAGTGGTAGCAGTGGTAGCAGCAGTGGTAGCAGTGGTGGCAGCAGTGGTAGCAGTGGTAGCAGTGGTAGCAGTGGTAGCAGCAGTGGTAGCAGTGGTGGCAGCAGTGGTAGCAGTGTAGCAGTGGTAGCAGTGGTAGAGCAGTGGTAGCAGTGGTAGCAGTGGGTAGCAGTGGTAGCAGCAGTGGTAGCAGTGGTAGCAGTGGTAGCAGCAGTGGTAGCAGTGGTAGCAGTGGTAGCAGTGGTATCAGCAGTGGTAGCAGTGGTAGCAGTGGTAGCAGCAGTGGTAGCAGTGGTAGCAGTGGTAGCAGCAGTGGTAGCAGCAGTGGTAGCAGTGGTAGCAGTGGTAGCAGTGTTAGTAGTGGTAGCAGCAGTGGTAGCAGTGGTAGCAGTGGTAGCAGCAGTGGTAGCAGTGGTAGCAGTGGTAGCAGCAGTGATAGCAGTGGTAGCAGCAGTGGTAGCAGTGGTAGCAGTGGTAGCAGTGGTTAGCAGCAGTGGTAACAGTGGTAGCAGCAGTGGTAGCATGTGGTAGCAGTGGTAGCAGTTGTAGCAGTGGTAGCAGTGGTAGCAATGGTAGCAGTGGTAGCAGTGGCAGCAGTGGTAGCAGTGGCAGCAGTGACAGAAGTGGTAACAGTGGTAGCAGTGGTAGCAGTGGTAGCAGCAGTGGTAGCAGTGGTAGCAGCAGCAGCAGCAGCAGTGGTAGCAGTGGTAGCAGCAGTGGTAGCAGTGGTAGCAGCAGTGGTAGCAGTGGTAGCAGCAGTTGTAGAAGCAGCAGCAGCAGTGGTAGAAGTGGTAGCAGCAGTGGTAGCAGTGGTATCAGCAGTGGTAGCAGTGGTAGCAGCAGCAGCGGGCAGTGGTAGCAGTGGTAGCAGTGGTACCAGCAGTGGTAGCAGTGGTAGCAGCAGTGGTAGCAGTGGTAGCAGCAGCAGCAGCAGTGGTAGCAGTGGTAGCAGCAGTTGTAGCAGTGGTAGCAGCAGTGGTAGCAGTGGTAGCAGTGGTAGCAATGGTAGCAGCAGTGGTAGCAGTGGTAGCAGTGGTAGCAGCAGTGGTAGCAGTGGTAGCAGTGATAGCAGTGGTAGCAGTGGTAGCAGCAGTGGTAGCAGTGGTAGCAGTGGTAGCAGTTGTAGCAGTGGTAGCAGCATTGGTATCAGTGGTAGCAGTGGTAGCAGTGGTAGCAGCAGTGGTAGCAGTGGTAGCAGTGGTAGCAGCAGTGGTAGCAGTGGTAGCAATGGTAGCAGCAGTGGTAGCAGTGGTAGCAGTGGTAGCAGCAGTGGTAGCAGCAGTGGTAGCAGTGGTAGCAGCAGTGGTAACAGTGGTAGCAGCAGTGGTAGCAGCAGTGGTAGCAGCAGTGGTAGCAGCAGTGGTAGCAGTGGTAGCAGCAGTGGTAGCAGTGGTAGCAGTGGTAGCAGTGGTAGCAGCAGTGGTAGCAGTGGTAGCAGCAGTGGTAGCAGTGGTAGCAGTGGTAGCAGCAGTTGTAGCAGCAGTGGTAGCAGTGGTAGCAGTGGTAGCAGTGTTAGTAGTGGTAGCAGCAGTGGTAGCAGTGGTAGCAGCAGTGGTAGCAGTGGTAGCAGTGGTAGCAGCAGTGATAGCAGTGGTAGCAGTGGTAGAAGCAGTGGTAGCAGTGGTAGCAGTGGTAGCAGCAGTGGTAGCATTGGTAGCAGCAGTGGTAGCAGTGGTAGCAGCAGTGGTAGCATTGGTAGCAGCAGTGGTAGCAGTGGTAGCAGTGGTGGCAGCAGTGGTAGCAGTGGTAGCAGTGGTAGCAGCAGTGGTAGCAGTGGTAGCAGTGGTAGCAGTGGTAGCAGCAGTGGTAGCAGCAGTGGTAGCAGTGGTAGCAGTGGTGGCAGCAGTGGTAGCAGTGGTAGCAGTGGTAGCAGTGGTAGCAGCAGTGGTAGCAGTGGTAGCAGTGGTAGCAGTGGTAGCAGTGGTAGCAGCAGTGGTAGCAGTGGTAGCAGTGGTAGCAGCAGTGGTAGCAGTGGTAGCAGTGGTAGCAGCAGTGGTAGCAATGGTAGCAGTGGTAGCAGCAGTGGTAGCAGTGGTAGCAGTGGTAGCAGCAGTGGTAGCAGCAGTGGTAGCAGTGGTAGCAGTGGTAGCAGTGTTAGTAGTGGTAGCAGCAGTGGTAGCAGTGGTAGCAGTGGTAGCAGCAGTGGTAGCAGTGGTAGCAGTGGTAGCAGCAGTGATAGCAGTGGTAGCAGTGGTAGCAGCAGTGGTAGCAGTGGTAGCAGTGGTAGCAGTGGTAGCAGCAGTGGTAGCAGTGGTAGCAGCAGTGGTAGCAGTGGTAGCAGTGGTAGCAGTTGTAGCAGTGGTAGCAGTGGTGGCAGCAGTGGTAGCAGTGGTAGCAGTGGTAGCAGTGGTAGCAGTCAGTGTAGCAGTGGTGGCAGCAGTGGTAGCAGTGGTAGCAGTGGTAGCAGTGGTATGCAGCAGTGGTAGCAGTGGTGGCAGCAGTGGTAGCAGTGGTAGCAGTGGTAGCAGTGGTAGCAGCAGTGGTAGCAGTGGTAGCAGTGGTAGCAGTGGTAGCAGCAGTGGTAGCAGTGGTAGCAGTGGTAGCAGCAGTGGTAGCAGTGGTAGCAGT